CAGAGGTGTTAACAAAGGTGTGTAGTGGAGGGTGCTCCGACACCGTGTTCGGAAGCTTGTCTGTAATAGTATTATAAAGGATGGTGTATTGTAGAGATAAGCTGTATATAGTGGGTACCTTGAGAGGGGTATAGTGGGGACAAGAACAGTAGTGTGTGCAAGAGGGATAATTGGATATATCCACAACAAGCTACTACGGGTGGTTGTACATGCTTGTAGTACCGTACCATCATGTATTCCTATGGATGTGGTGGTCTTGTTGTGTTGTTATCTAAGAATATGATCGATGACCGTAGTAGTTGAATACGCCTCTTTTCCTCTTCCTCCTCGATGTTTTTGGATAACATACCATTACTTGGAGGTCGAGCAATAGATCTAGATCGTGATGAGCTCAAGGACAGACTACTTCATCACAAGTAGGAACAAGGGCAGCAGCAGCCGCCTCATCATCGTTCACACGCTTATTGGTAAGAGTGTATTTAGGTACTCTGCTGGTGAGTATACTCCTCTTGATATGGTCTACATGCCATTCTGGAATGCCTGTATAAATGTAATATCTATATCCTCCTCACTAGCCCAGTAGCCCTCCTCAGGCGTTCCCTCGTACCATTTCCCCCAATGCTATTACCCTATCTGGCTGTGCTATTATTTGTCTAATATACGTTTTCATAATATTGATGCCGACCCGCCATACCTGGCATTTCTTCATGGCCGCCTTCTGTGTATTCACTGGACAGGTATGCAACCATCTTCATGCCGATAGGCATCTTGTGTTTGTTCAGACCCTAGATGCTATGGATGGCAAGCAGGCCCGTAGGTTGGGTGTATCCTCACCTTTAGGGGCTATACTTGATCATGGAGTGGATGCCTGTACTATGGGTATCCTTATGCTTACTGTAGCACGATGTCTTGGCCCTTCTGGTAGTAACATGATGAATAGTATTACTACTATTAATGAGTGTCTTGTATAGGGGAGTTTCCTAACGACCTACCGATAATAATACCAGTTGCATTAGTGGCTGTATCGTGCTTCTGGTTACCTCATTGGAATCATATGCATACTGGTAAACTAGAGGTCGGTGGTGTGACCGAGGCACAATTCCTGGTCGGTTTATTTTTCCTTATATGTGGATGCTTTGGTGAGGACTTCTTCCGTAAGGAAACTCCCTTCCCTTCTGGCTGGACTAGAGGAGAAGTAGTAATAGTAATAGTAGTAGCTTATGAATATCCCTACTTAGTTGCTATGCTACGCGATCCTATCTGGTGCCTCTATGCTATCTATATATGATATAGTCACTT